GTTCCAGCCCTCTGACCATTTTTGTGGCCCTCCTCTGGACCTGCTCTGACAGGTCCGTGTCCTTCAAGCTAACTGGCTTTTTGGTGACCACACCAGAAAATAAGCAGAAGCCAATACAGGGAAGGGATAATAGGCATCCCAACAGGTAACCACTAGAAGGCCCAGAAAGCTGGACAAGGACTCACTAAAACTACAAAAGAAAAATGCAGGCTTGTATCTATAGTAAAAGGCAGTTAGGAGACACTGAAACACTCCTGAGGCTGCAAGTAATAGCTCTCTTCTACATCTGCTGGTTAAAATCATTAATCTCCAGATAACCACCATTTCCCACCCACTGACAGTTACCACCCATTCAATGCCCTTCACAAGGATTCCCAGGATTGTGTCCCATTCAGCCTCAGATGGGAGGAGAAGTTCAGGCTTGTTCCTCAAATCAAGTTAACCCATGTCCATGATCTTAAACTAAACAGAAGTAATCTTGAAGGGTGAGGCACTCTAAACAGACATTTTAACAAAGATCTAAGATACACTATGTAACTTCTACATACATAGATCCTTTTTTAACAGATTTTGAGCAACAGTTGCACACTGCTCAGTCCTAGTCCTGATAATTTTCTACTTTGGTCATGCCTTAAACAATTTTAGAGCAGACCTAGCAACAGAGTTACTAAAGGGCCACCAAATCAAACAAAAAGCTACTTTTAAGCCTTTCCCTGCCTTAAAATTCCTGTTTACAATAGTACCGCTCCTCTAAGAAACAAATGCTGGAATCACAGGAGATACAATATAGGAGAATTCAAGTACAACTAAGCATAGGGAAAACAAATCATCTGGGTCTCTTGGGACAGTCATACACCAGCAAACTGCACAGGGACACGTATTTGGCATACTAACAAAATTGCATGCATGTATATATTGAAGACTTGAACAAAATAAACTTTCTGCAATATTGAAGGGACTGTCATGCACAGCATTTTGCAGAAACACCTCATTCTACATATAATTAATATTTGCCATGTGCCAAATCTCATAAAAAAAAGTGTAAGCTAGGAAACACTTGCCAAGCAAAAGAGACTGAAAACCCACAAATATAATTAGCAAATGATTAGCAAAATAAATAAGATTGAAATTGCCCTCATTTTCAAGGAGGAAAAAAAAACAACTAAGTAATCATTCATGAATGTTCCATTTCTACGGGAAATCAAATCCTTCATTTGCCTCAAGTATTGTTTTGTATATATTTTAGTGGAGGAATCCAGCAGCCTGATGAGGTTGACAGTAGCTAAAATTTTATCTTTACACTACTGATGAAAGTTGGATCAAAGTCCATCAACGGACTAGAAGCCACACATGTTCTCATGATAGCAGCTATTAACCTTCAGATCAACTTACAATGTTTCCACAACCTCTATATGGACTTTCAAATTCTGGGAGAACAAAATCCTGTAAAGGTTCATCATTATTTGTGGGGAAATTTAAGTTCCCAAGGAGCCTCCTGGTTTACATCCTACTCCCATATAGCTAAAAGTTTAGGCAAGCTTCATATTCTCAGTAAATAAACATATAGGCTTGCAACCATATTCAGTCACACAAAATAAACATATGAACATAGGTGAAGAAGCATACAGAAATAATATGAAAGACAAGTGGGCATATCATTTTGGACACATGTTCTAAGGCTGGGTCTAAATCACTACTTTAAGTGTAACTACTCAAAGTCCTTTTAAACAAGAGCTGTATAATTCATGTATTGTGAGTGCACTGATGGTATTAAAATACAATTTGAAGAGTCAGTCTTTAGCTCTAATCCCACAAATAAGCACAGATCTTGACTTTATATAGGAAGAGTAGTCCATCTGTACTGTGTATGGATGTGTGAATAAATAAATTATATAGCAAGTTAAAATTAAAACTTCCTTTCTTCACAGCCTGAAATGAGGAAAATACATTTCGCAATCAACTCAAAATTTGGTCATACACTCCATACAGAAACAGTACTGAAATTAGCTATTAGACAGTTGGAATCAGGCACAACAAACAGTTGTAAGTTTCAGATATTTACATGTTTAAATGTTGTTTCACTTCAAGATGGGAAAAAACAATATCTTTGAGAAAGGAATGAGAATGTACACATGCAAAATACACCATCTATGATAAAAAAAAAATCTCATAAAACAAATGCAGAAGTAAAAGAACTTCAATTTTGTGTCGCATACCATTGGCAGGTGCCTTAAAAGACGGTCAACAAAGAAAAGTAGTGGGTTATCAAATGAAATTGTGAATAGATCAGAAGTGCAAGATCAAGCCGTTCTTAATACAAGTCCAGCACTTTGATTTGTTTTTCCTAGATAAAAGTTGCAAATCTTACGTTCAGGGGGTCAGGCCTCATTATACTCATGTCCCTATCAAAGAGCCTGACATTGGCACCGAGAGCGCCAGTGATCACAGCACTGCATGTTGCTGTTCATAGGGACAGGAGACGCCATCACGCTTCAGTCCAACTGGCCTTGGACAGCACCAGCGCATTTGTGTGCTGCATCCCGCCGCATACGTTAGGAAACCTGCATTAGACTGTGTTTCTCCTGGTGCAACTAGTGACATATGAATACTATAACATATGAATACTATAAAGTGCTCTCTGTTAACAGTTTCCTTCTGTTATATGTTTTAAGCATTGTATAGCTGGGAACTCAGGTTTTGTTTTGTTTTCCAACATTGCATCAATGTGCCTGTATGTTTAGTACAAATAACCACAGTTGAGAGCAATCTTTTCCTTTTCATGTTTATATTACCTAGAACACTTTGTACTAGACAGACATGCAAGACATAAAATACTTTATCTAAACAATGTGCATCAAGCTCTTCACTTTTCAAGCAAGTACATATTTAAGTCCACTAATGATGAAAAATTATACCAACTCTTTAAGTGCATAAGTGTCTAGAAGACTGGTACAGGAGGTTGTACAGAGACTGCACTTTTTTCACCTGAAAGTATGGACCCTGACTTGAAGAACATTGCACAAACATTTCTCACAGCCCTGCATTGTGGAGAGACTTCTTTCTCAACTAGAATAAAACAGGAGGAGTAGGTAAGCTGGACCTGAACAATATAAATCTGGTCTTAAAGTGATCAACAGAGCAGTGTTCACTTCTTTCTCAGAAGAACATGATCCAGAGGAGAACAGTTCTATGTTTGCTACAGCACTTCTTCAGTGTTTTTAAAATACAAACCTCAACCAGAATTCAGTACATTAAGACCTTCAGTAATACCTAAGTAAACACCTGCATCTTTTAAAGTTGTTTCATCCAACATGAAAAGAGTCTTCACATTCTGGTTACAACACATTTTTGTAATTGTATATACTGTGTAAAAAGTATAATAAAAAATCCTTGCCTATTGCTAAAAAAAAAAAAATAAGATCAAAACTAGGAGAGGATTAAAGCTGCTAACAAGATTTGATATTTGCCATATTATTCTTTTTATTATTATTTATTTTGATAGTTTACATTTCAGAAGCACAGACTCCTCAACGGAATTTTAAGACGAGAAAAACATTTTACACGTTCCTTTTAATATGTAACATCTTCCCCACTATCCTTAGTCAAATAAAGGGAAGACTGCCAGCACTATTCCCTACAAAATATAAAATCAGGTATATGACAAGCCAATCTGCTTCCTACCTTTCACAGACCAATGCACAACCTATGAAAACGGAATTATGGAATACTTAATGAAAGTTACTGAAAAGTGTCAAATGACAAAATACGGAAGTTACAAAACAAACTTATCCATATTGTAATCACACTTAGCTGAACTCTTAAGCAGACAACATTAAACTCAAATGTAACGCAAGTTTTCCTGTCAAAGCCCAGTTCAAAAGAGGAGAGATTTCACTGTAACATATTGATTTCCTTTACTGCTGATTCAAAAAAAAAAAAAAAAAAGCTTGATTTTTTTCTGGGACATTTATATAGTCCTATCTAATTATATACTCCATCAACCTAACTCAATTAAATAATAATATAACGATGTGTAGGAAACAACTAATATATATGCAGACAGTTTAAGTAGTACTAATTATGTTCTAATTTTTTAAATCTATCATAATGAGCCTTTCTTCCCATTCTCAGAATGGAGGGCCACATGCAGGTTAATATTTATATTCAGTGTGTTTTATTATGTATTTAGGAAAATCAATGAAAGAAAGTATGAACTTACATGTCCACCGAGTTCACCATACAGCCAAACTCAATTTCAAATTCAAACAGGTATTTTTTTAATTGCTAATAATCCCACAGTACCGTACTAAACATTGCAGAGTATATTTTTAAAACGCTACATCCAAAGTCTGACGTTGCATTCTGTATGACTCTACCCGGTCTTTCACAATAACTACAATCTCTGAAAAAACATGCCTAAGAAAGTAATGTTTCAATATACAGAGAGGATATCAAAAGGGTTTTCTACTACTAAACTGGTTTAATATAGTACTTTGTATCTTCAAAGCACAGTGCTGTACTAACTATTAAAGCAGTTCAAAACATACCGCAGCTCACAAAAATATCCAGAATTCACAGAAGTAACAAGAATTACCATTTCTACTGCTGTTACAATTTGCTTTTTCATCAAACAGAGGGGTTATAAGTAACCCACCTCTGCATTGCTCTCAAGCTATTTCTCTCTCTACACCGCAAAGTGAATATTTGAACTCAAGAGAAATCAACAAAGATTCAGCTTAAAAGACTGCAAAAAAGAGTCAGACTCATGAGTTCAAAAGGGATTTAGATCCAGCATTTTGTATCAGCTCTTACACGGAAATTTCAGTTAACTTCTTGTTTTAACTTCTATTTAATACCAAAACTTGCTATATCGCCAAAAAGTCTTACCTACCATTTTGTCTTGGGGCACAAAATTCAACTGTTTACAGTAACTAGATAAATAACAGTAACAAAAGCATCAAGCAAATGTTTGTTTTAAATACTGTTATTAACAGACCAACCTTCTCTTTTGAGCTTCAGAGTCTCTCCTGGCTTGTTCTAAGGCCAGTTCTTCAGCTATTCTTTTCTTTAGTTCCTCATCATTAACTACAATTAAAAGAAAATTAAATGAAACGTTAACAGAACACAACATAGTCCTAATTACAGAAACAATCACATAATACAGTGCTCTATTTTATTTATTTTCTTTTTCCTGCGAAGCAGTTGGAATTTTAGCATACAACACTACAGAGCCTTTAAAAATTACTCTTATTAAACAACTTTTCAATTAGTGGAATATTTAAAAAATTAAAAACATACAGTGTATGTTAAATTAAATACGTTTTTCTTAAGCAATATGCCTTTATAAAGCTACATGGGGGAGGGGGGCTGAGATCTAAATAGTAAAGTCATAAAATGTTGATTTCTATTCCTATGGAACCAAGGGAAACATCTTCCTGTATAATGAATCAAGTATGTTCAGATGCATATTTTACCCAATAAAGCATTTACAACATCCTAGATATCCATACTTCTGGTTTCTATTGTTAGAAAAGGATTTCGCCTCAAATTCTCCCAATTTTGTTTAAACAAGCAGACACAGAAAGAGTATTTTCTGCATTTAGATTATGTCAGATGAATTAGTGGAAAGTCCAGTTAAGAACTGAAAAAGTAGGGAAGCAACTTCTTAAAGCGTACAAATAAACTTTTCCACACAAAAGGTAGACAAGTATAAGAGCCACCAAACCTACAAGCTTCAAAGACATCTATAAGATTACCAAACTCCATTCAATAAGGGTTTGAAACACAGAACAGGTCCATTCCCAACTCTCTTTGATATTCAAGGGCTCAGTCATGCAAGCTACTACACTGATAATCCTTCAATATTAATACTATCCACATCTGTAGGCAACGGCATACTTCTGAAAAATCTGACCTAAGGAGATCCCAAGTAGTTTGTCGCTACTTCCTTTGATAGGAGTTGTGGCAATAAAAGATATTTCAACAGACTTCCAGAAGGAACCATACTGAAAAGGTTGTTTCAACCTTAAAAAAAAAAAAAAACCACCACCACCACACACACAAAAAACTCTGGAGATAGTTTTATATGTTTTATCTCTAGCCGAATACAACTTGACACATACATAGCAGGAATTAAAGAAAAAAAAAAAATTAAAATACCCAGTCATCTAGTAAGAAAGAGCAACATTTTCATTCAGGAAAATGTAGTAGCTTGGCAATCAAAAGTTATGCTGACTTCAGTAGAACAGCTGTTAACTTTGCATAAAATGTTGATTTGTAGCAGTCAATAAGTGTGTGTGTGTTCCTACAGGAGGAAAAGAAAACAACTATAAAGTACAGCTGTAGAAAGAGATTAAAAATCAAGTAATTATTTCCAGGTTTATTCCAATATAAATCCTCATCTAGACCTGCCTGTCTGCAATAAAGGTATACCTACACCAGCTGAGCTGTACTTCTGCGACTCTGCAATACTCCAGTATTCCAGCACAGGCATTCAGATAATGCCTTTATTTATATAAAGCATCTGGCTCAGATTCCACTCTATGGAACCACGAGGCTAAAAGGCACGTAATCTCAGTCCAAAATGCCTATCACTTGAGCATAATATAGATGTTAAATCCAAGAAGGTGATACGATCCCCTTACCTGCCCCCAGAAGCAGTAACAAAACCACTTACTTAGGTAGCTAAAAACCAGAGAACTACATTTTCAGGCAATATAAGACATGAAGCAACTGCGAGACAACAAGGAGTCTCCTTAGAGGTTGCATTTATATTAAGTATTTATGCATACAGATAGTATTCAACAACTGTTAGCGGTCAGAAACTTGTGGAGATACGGGGGCAGACGGGGAAAAGTCACTAGCCTCCTTTTTCATAGTGAGTCAATAGTCACAGAATCTGCCCAGAAAGTGGAACATCTGGAATTCAGATCCTCCTAAGATGGACCAGTTTGAGTCCACATATCACACATACTCCAGCAAAGTGCTCTAAACATCAAGCTACCATCTAATTTAAGCAGATACACCTTTTTTTTTTTCTTCTCCTGGACAAACAAATATAAAGTGCCTTAGAGGGTGTCTAGTGATTAAAAGACAAAACCGAGACAGCCTCCAATTGTAGTACCCCCTTTGTGGAATCAGTTATTTGCTTTACATTAGGCAGCAATCAGATTTTAAAAAATAGACACACACAAAAAAGCCAGTGACAAATAGCCATGTATCTCAGTGACCTCGTCTCCAGGAGTTGGCTTTATCTGCAAATATTATCCAACATCATTAGGCTGTGTTACCATTACAGTTAACAGAGTCCAGTGTGCAATTCTACTCATCCTGAAGTAGATTTATAAAATCATGAATTTTATGAATGCATGAAGCAGCTTCATCAACTATATGGGAGTCCTGGCCACCTAATTCATTTATAAGCATCTTAAGTAAAGCGGAATGAATCAATATCCATCCTGCCAGATGCAGCAAATGCTTAGATGACAGAAACAGTTGTGCTGGGGAAAAGTGGTGGGACACTTGTGAAAGGCAAGTGAGACTCCAGCCTAAAAATATATTAACATACATGACAATTCAAAAGTAAATATGAATCTTGTAACAGATTACTATCACAAACCCTGGATGAAACGGCAAAACCCCATTTTATTGGGCCTATCTCTACTGGCAGTGCTCTACTATTTTCTCCTCTGAGGCTATATGAGGATACTGTCCGTCCAAGAAGATATCGAGTTGTTACAGCACACCGATATTTCAAACATTTCCAAACAAAGATCAGCCAGTCACAGTGAACTGTATTGCCAGAAGAGAAAAAAGTTAAGCAAAATATCAGGCAATCACAAGGATCCTGCTTCTGTACTGCAGCACACATTAATCTACCCCACACATCAGTAAACATCACAAGCCAAAATGACAGCAGTTAAGGTTCTGCATTTGTACACTTGGAAATGATTAAGCTGTCATAAAAGCAAAGAATTTATTTCACATCACAGCTACCTTTTCACAGAACAAACTGAAAACCCAAGATCAAGTGTTTCTCACTGCAGCTCTGCTCAACCCAGGTATATCAATATTTCATGTCCTTTTAATACTGGACCTAAGAATACACAAAACTTAGCATAGGTATATTGTTCACCAGCATCTACATCATGAAGTTTATTGTTCTGGTGTGCAAAAATGAGTACAAGAACTCTAACAGACCATAGAACGGTTTTTTAAGTCGTAATGAGAAAAGATTCAGGCATCAGCCAATAAAGACATTTGACCTTAACAATCAATTAGGTTACCCATCGATCAGCCAAATACTAATAGGGAATAAAAGTGGAGCTATAGATCATTCAATAGAATTATTGTAAGACATAATTAGGTAGCTCCCAAATGGGAACTTTATGATGTTTCACTAAAAAATTGCAGTTCTACAAGTAGGAGGGATTTGTTCTAGGGGAAGAAGCATTTAAAAAGAGAAAAGTTTATGTATTAGAAAGAGGAACAGGAACAAAAAAAAAAAAAGGAACTGTTTCTAGATAAAAGCAATAATATTTCTCTCCAATGGCAATCTCTGCTCAGACTATAGGGCACTGAAACCAGACAGCTGACCGTTAAACTATCAAAGAATATTAGAACCTGGTAGGTGCAAGACTGCTAAAATAAGCACGATCCAGAGACAGTAAGTATACAGCTGCTGCCAAAAATTACGTAGCCATTCCCACCATGACCCTCTTTACTATTTTAAGTTCTTCAGGATACTGAAATCAGTGTCAACTTCATAGTAAGTGCACCCCAGAACAGACAAATTTGGAAGATTTTCAGGCAAGTACATTTAGGAAGGTCACACTTGCATCTTGGCGCTTTCTTATGCTCCTACAAGAGCATAAAATGAATGCAGCTCCACCATTTCCCAAGTCTGAATGTGCTAATGCACAGCTTGCATCACGGGACAATTTAGATAGATGGTGAGTAATGGGAACCATACTCAAAAAGCCATAGTGCTATAGCCAGAAATAACTCTTCTCTGTCCTCTTAGCATGTGAAGGGTGGATGCTGATAGATGTCTGATAAGCAGTATTCTCTTCGGGATAATGCAAAAGGAGTACCACCAGCTGCATTGCCAATGGGCTCATTACCATGCTCAGATCTAGCAGCAGGTTGCACAACACTTGAGAGTGACCAAACTGCTCCGCGTAACACCACCGCAGACACAGAATACCACTAGGTGATAAAAACCACAAAGCTTTTGCCTGGATCTTAGCAGACCAAGCAGTGACTGTCAATGGACAAGGACATTTCCCCATTTTGATGGCCTCCAGGATGCAGCAGTCTGATGTTTCTTATACATCAGATACTTAACGTGCGCTTCCCCCTGAAACTTCAAAGGTCACCCACTAGCAATACTGGAGCAAAGCCAAAGCTTCACACGATGACAACAATTCTTGAGAAGCAATCAGGAATTTTATCTCCGAGGTCTACCATAGGTTGGTGTGTAAGGGTATATGCAACTCAGCTAGTCATAATATTTTTCTCCAACTCCTATTCCCTTGCTAGGCACAAGATCTAAATCCATACCTTTTTCCTCTCACTCTAAAGCAGCTGCCTCACAGAAAAAAAAACCATACAGCACAATACTAAGATTACAGCAAGGCAGCGGCACCCAAAGCTGCAAACAACACACATTAGGTAAAGCAGGCACCTGCAGCCTCAAAAAGGTTAGCCTGAGAAATCAGGAATAGAATATGGAAAAATTAATCACATAGCCTCTAGCCTGCAGAGCTGGGAATATGCCCATTAGTCTTGCATTTTCAAAAAAATCATTAATGGAAACAGCATTTATTATCAGGCACCTTAACTAAATCCCCTTGAAAGGGCAGGTGCATTAAGTTATTAATGAAGAGACACTTCAGTTTGATACAATCAAACATCTTTTAGAAAATACTTAGCTAAATAAGTCAGAGAATGAATTTAACGGGGAAAAAAAGGAAACAAACCAGTTCTACTTTTCCTTTTCATAAAAAAAAAATTAAAAAATAAAAATATGTCCAGTGAACAGGACATCCTTCAGAAAGTAACTTCTCAAAGGCCAGAACAGAATC